CACATCTTATCCTGCCACTATACTAACAAGCCCAAATCGCCACCCTCATCCACTTGGCACTCATTTACATGCATGAGTGGTTAGTGTTACGGCTGAATTATGTTATCACCGAACGATTCCACTGCCTTGCCCACTCATCATCAATCACTTCGTGGATATGTCGGCTTTTATTTTGCTAACAATGAGCTTATTTATCTGCATCTTGCCAGTAGTTACCTACGGAGCAGAAACCTGGATGCTTACAAAGAGGGTTCAGCTTAAATTGACGATGACGCAACGAGTAAAGGAAAGGAAAATGATAGGCGCAACCTTAAGAAACAAGAGGAGAGCAGAGTGGGTCAGAAAACTAACCGGGGTTAAGGATATTGTAACGAATAAATACCACGCCGAAAGCTAAGAAACTATTTATTTATGGTGAACTTGTTCCTGTCAACTAAATACACAAAGCTTGTCCTGAGCTCGCTAGTGCAAAACCTCGTCAACGTCTTCTTTATGCGTCTCACCACGTGCCAGCTACTTCGAAAGACCGCCAGCCTTCATTTTCCAGCGCGTGGTGTGGTGACACGTGCAGCCAGCGTTGCATGGCGCGTTTAGCTTGACGCGTTTGGCTTGTCAGTTGGTCTGGCAGAATTCATAAGAGCAGGAAGCGGCACAAGACTTGGGTAAATGCCTAACAACGTGCGGCAATATCATAGTTGAAATCAAGACGAAATGTACGTGGGCCAGGCACGTAGCGCGTCGGCAGGATAACCGATGGTCATTAAGGATAACTAACTGGATTCCCAGGGAAAGGTAAACTGGGTGAGGAGGAGACAAAGTTAGGTGGGCGGGTAACATTAGAAAGTTCGTGGGTATAATGCGGCAGCAGCAGACACAGGACCGAGTTGATTGGTGAATCATGGGCGAGGCCTTTGCCCTGGAGTGGGCGGAGTCAGGCTGTATGAGGATGATAATGATGATGACAATGATGATGATAATGATGATGATTATGGTGATGTTGATGATGAGCTTACTTATTGCGCTCATTTTTATTGCTACAGCAGTTAAGGACAGCCTACACTCAAACAATTTCATTTATTGTCTGTTGCCACGCGTTCGCATTCGCACCTCCGGTATCCATTCTTGTACAACTTAGAAGCAGAGCCTCTGCATTTTTACCGCATCGCGTCATTGCCAACCACGTGTTATTTCATCGTCTTTCGGAGGCCACAGTATGCAATATAGGTAGTATTAAACACATGAGCACAAAGTAACTCCATCCAGCGCGGGCTTCATGAGCCACGTTCTTCTTTTTAATGCGATGCACGCCCCATCCGCAGTGCCTTGCAAACCAAAGCAAAATAGTGCTACGTTACTGTATGTTGCTCGGCGCAATGTTTGCCCCTTCCTCCCTTTTCTCCCCTTAAACCCTCACCCCTCAATCAACATAGGTAGGGAGTGTTTCGCTCTGAAGAAGACAGTGCAGCAGACCATGTCTGCACTGTAGATTGCTCTATGCACATGCTCACAGCATCGCCATTCGACCAGATTACCGCCGTGAGAATGCGCAGACGTCGATTCTCTCGGGACGCAGTTAAATATCTCGAGCTGAGTAGCGATCTTTTCAGAAAGAAAGCTTGCAAACACTGAAAGATTCAGTTTTCAAAACCATTTATTGTTTGTTACTCTAGAAACTCAAAATCAATCGACAACCTTGATCCCACCACATTGGTTTTTTTTTAGTTTTGCATGCTGTGAACTCTTCGGCACTAGAAGAAACCTTCCTATGTTGCAGCAACAAAAATAATGGGTTCTGTGTTGCCGGAGAAAAAACGGATAACAATAATTGTGAGAATAACTCAAAGGAGACGTCCCAAAAAAGGCGTTTTATGTGGATCTCACATTTTTGTTACACACACATCGTACTTGATTCAGGCGCTCTGTGACGCCAGAACAATTCATGACGTCAGCAACATGCAACAATGTCACTACAGACCACACTTCTCAAACGCCGTATTTTTTTTTTCTTTTGCTCCCTTCAGTTGTTCAAATATCAATAAGTAACCAGGGTTACGAATGTTGTCCACTACAGCACTGCAGTTTGCAAGATTCTAGAAAATTATGTAGTATACTAAGATGTATTTGCTATACATTCTATAGACAGGTAAAATACTCTCAACAACTTCGCCACTTGTGTCGCAGATTACGTACGTTCGAATTTTATTATACTTCGCCCGAATGATATCAAACAGGCACAGTAACTGAATGTCATCAGGCATACTTGAAAACGTCATCTGAACAACAAGTAGAAAAAGTGAGACTGAGATTTCCGGCGTGTGCTCTAATTCAATCTTGACGCAACTGTTCAGTGTTGATCTAACCTCACCAAACTCCTCGTGCTGATGTTTATCGCACACTTTTTTAAGAGTACACTAAACAATACATGTGTGTTATTGATAAAGCTTTATGAAAGTGATAACTGATTACACCTGTTTGTGCACTTCACATGTTGCTTCGGTAAGCTAATACACACACACCGAAATGATATGTGTGCTTATAGAAGTCGCAGTTTATACTACTGCTCTAACTGCCGCAAGCAATGGTGTCACTGCTCCTTTGTCACCTGATAAAATAATAGGTTCGCAAAGCTGACATACATGTTTTGCTTTTACATTACATTTACTCCATTTGTTAGGGCCTTCAGTATGCTTGATAAATGTAAATAGTAGAGCTGCCCCAAGAAATTACTGACGTCAGATACATAGATAAGATTTCGCCTTACGTGTTCTTTCATTCTTATATGAAAGTCTCCGATATTTAAGCTGTCGGGTTACTATGGAAGGACACTTACTACCATAAGTCCAGGGTTCATGCTGGGGGAACAACAAGTGATGCACACTATGTGACCCTGTTTGAAACTCCGCTATTTTACAGCGGCCAACATATGTGTTATGACTTGAAGGAAAATGTTTCGGGCAAAAACATCGAATTCTAAAGAAGCAGAAAAACATTTTCCTTAAGCAGTCGTTGCTACGTTGCAATATGAGTTAAAAGCAGTCACAGAGTTGGAATGCATAAGGATTTAGCAGTCGTCTCTCATACTATAATGCCTTTCTATATGAAATATTTTAGCGTAACATTTTTTCCAGGGATAGGTCAAGATGGGGATAGGGGATTCGAACGCACACACGATAGAAATAGTGTGCTGCCGTCATAGAATGTTATCACAATGAGCGATGTTTATTAGTGCTCTAAAATGAATGAAGAGTACAATATAGACACTATTGGCACTGCGCACATAACAGTCCTTGCCGTGAACATTGGTATGCGGTTTGATGAGAGTTCAGTCAAGATATGCAAGGATGATTACATTTTGCCGAGGCGTTCGCAATTCGACCGCCGTTAAAGAGCGTCGTAGCGACGTGACAAAAAGAAAATGTTTTGACGGGAACAGTAGCACACCCATGTCTTGGCACCAATGAAAATCGACAAGCAATCGACAATATGTTAAAACCAACTCTGATCCTTGAAGAACTAGCCCAAAAACGTGCTTTCGTAAACACGCAACTCTCTTAGCTTCTGAATCGTTAAATTTGAGCAAGGTTTATGGTGTGGTGCATCAAATCGTAGGATTTACCTATTTTTAGCTAATCAACACAATTAAATGGCTTTAAATCCCCCACATTTTGTGCTATTTGGCATCAATATGTTTACAAGCCATTTTTAAGAGTAAGTTTTGTTTAAACTGCAGTCAATAAATACAGTTTGTGGGCTATGTAGCACCCTGTTTTTTTCGTGCCGTTGATAGGGCACCTCCATGGCTGGGGTATGTCATTCACTGAATATGCACTGGGGAGCGTAACAACGATTTCAGTGTGTGAAAAGCACCTATGCGATATTACACACTGAATTCGGACTGATTATTTTGAAACATCATGCCAAATGTCTTTTAAAGTATTCTGAGAAATGGCTGTCACTATATAGAAGTTTTATTGAATCCTTTGTAAGGATGCCACCCCGAATGGGAATTTTAAAAAAATCACTGCAAGTTAGCTTGTCTGTAGATGTGAAACTGACAGTTTCGAAATTTCTTTTATTCAAGCTAATGGTAGTACACATTTAAACCTAAAGGGGGGGGGGGTATTACATCGTCAAAGCTCTCACTAATTTTACGTCTGCTTTACTAAGTCTCTTTTACCATGAACAAATGAACAGCAGATCTGTCACACGATGTTGATTAGGACAAAGTAAATATACTCAGAAGTCAGAGACATTTTTTTCATCTCTTTTCTTCAACATGTACTGTTCATATTTACAGTAATTTTCGGACAAACAGTGAGAGCTAATAAAATAGGTTTGAGAAAAAGGAAGCATCGTAATCAAGGTCGCCTTCTTTAGCTGTGAAGGCTGGGAAAGGCCGCGAGAGCAGGTGTTTTGGCGGCTCCAACGCGAATAAAAGTTATAAGGACGTTATGAGCTTTGATATCGCTATGTACTCGGCGGATACGAACGATACGTCCACAGCTCACACAGACAGGAGTGTACTCAAATGACATACACGCACACACACACTAACTCTGACGCTCCACTTTCTCCCACTACTTCATAGGAGCTCTAGGTTGATATTGACGCTTATAGCATTCACGTACGGTAGACGGTTAAATACAAGGTTCAGTCATATACTACCAACACTTCACGGCTCAGCAGTGTGTGCCAACACTTGGGCACAGAAGAACAGCTGTTTAGTCAGTCACAATAACAAGAAAGGAAGAGAGGGAAAGACAGAAGCACATCTCTGGTCACATTGTCACACACAAAGTACTTGACGTCCTCGAAGTCACAAGTCCAACGTGCACCGGGTATGAAACACGTTGGCGCAAAATGGTCCTCCCCACCCCATTTTTTCAGTCTATTCCAGTCAGCACAAGGTGCCCTCAATTAGAGTTCACAGACGGTACAGGCGGAGGTGCTTTTGCAGGAGCTCTGTCGGGTCGAACGCTGTCGCGTACTCTGGTTGATCTTGGCTAGCCTCGAACTCACTCGAAGCCGGCCAGCTGTATGCTATAGCTCGGACGCATCGGCACTCGACTTGCGCCGGCCGATCCCGCACAGCAGGACCCGCTTGAGCAGCCAGCGAAATGATTTGTTGTACTCCTTGCGAAATTTGCCTGTTGAGCGGAAAGGGAAAAAAACGAGAAAATCAGAAAAGCGTGTTGCTTACAAACCCTAAGCAAAAAAAAAGAAGATGTATATGAATGTTTTTTTAAAGGGCCAATCCACAGGCTCCGAAACGCACTGGACAAGCTCGCGCAATTTAACGGCGCGTGACCAACCTCCTTATACGCGCAGTGACGTCAACTCTGTGATAGGCGACGTTGACCTCATTACTGTTTGTTGAGACCTTGTTTAGACCAACCGACGAACTGCGTGCTGCGTCACGTCACCGGTCGCCGAGTTGACGTCACTGCGCGTATAAGGAGATCGGTCACCCGCAGGAAAAATGCGCGTTTCGGAGACTGTTGACTGGCCCTTTAAGAGTTGTTAAACACTATTTACGTCAACAGACCACGACGCAATTATGAGAGATGTTGTAGAGGAAGACGCCGGAAATTTGGAATATCTGGTGTTCTTCAACCTGCATTTACCTCGTGAAGTATACGGGCTTCTACCATCATGCCTCTATCAACGTGCAGCCACCACGGCCGCATTCGAACTTGCTACCTTTGGGCCAAAAGATAAGCACCCTAACCACTGATCAACCATCAACTTCTTGTAACAAGACGCGTGAAATCTCTTTGAAATAACCGTGCCCTATTCGTACAGCACGAGGACTCGAAAGAGTTTACGTTCTTTAACGACTGCTTAAAGCGTGGCAGATCAGAACTCCTGAGAAAGGGACTAAGAAACACTCTTCGTTCTATCTTAGTGTATATCAGACCGGTTAGCTCAGCTTGTACAACGCACGTTTTGTTATTTGAGCTGTTTCGAATGTGTGCTCTATTACTACTTCCGCAGTGGGTGTTAGCAATAGCCCCCAAAATTAGACCAAATTGTATACCATCGCGGGTATATTGAGTACTTCACGCCTGACATAACTACAGCTGCACTCACATCACTTTTAGGCACCCCAAAAGCAATATTTTTGTTGCCGTGGTGCGCACTAATAACGCTCCTCGCGTACCGTGGCCAGAAAACACGTATAAAATATTTTACTTTGATGTTGAAGTTTTCATTGCGCAGCATCTGCAAGCTAGCCCCATCGCAAGGTACGTAACTACGACAAGTCAGCAAAGTTAACAGCATTTGTGATACATGCATCCTGTGTGCTGCCTGAATAGCAGAAATCGCTGCGGATCCTCTGAAGGACCGTTTACGCGTCGTTGTTTACGTGAAGCCGTTGCGACCGACCGCGAAGTGACGGCGGTTGCTGGTATATCGTAAGTCCTATCCTTCCCGTGTTGTCAAACTTGTGTTTTCATATGACTGCTGTTGACACATAACCGTTGATACAAAAATGAAATGGCCTTTTTAAGACCTGGGTGTTAAAAATATATTCAATGCAATGCTATGTACTGCGATACTCATTTTGGGGGTTCTCAACACCAATGCATTTATTGATAGCGACAACCCAGCAATATATAATATTCATGTAAGTAGAGCTTTAAGATTGTAGTGAGAGTTAAATACAAACGTAAGTTGTTTATCAATATCGTAAAAGCGATGGTTTCAAAAGTAGTCGCTGGCTCAATCAAACAAAAAAGACTTACCAAGCTAAAAATAAAAATAGCATTGTGATGGAATTGAGAACGTTTGAACTATTCAATTCAGACTATATTCAAAGTAAAGGGCATAAAGTTACGCTAAAATTTCAAAGGAAGGCGTAATATACGAGATTCTTAACCTCTGTTGTCATCAATACCAGCATCGGCTACTGTGGTGAATTGTTGGTTATGTTTAGGTAATGTTAATTTCGCTCTCATAAAAAATTGCAACAAATAATGTCTGCAAATTGATGTGCCTAAGCCAAACTCCTTGAAAAGGGGCCCTGCAGCAATTTTTCAAGTAGCCACTGAATGAATTTACTAAAACAGCTCGTTTTCTCGAGAATTCACTAACTCATTTTTTTGAAACCGGTCCGGTATGAGCAGACTTTGAAAAATTCTTTGCACGCTGCAATACGCTATGTATTTTCTCGTCTGGACAAAAGCGTAGAAAGCTAAGCAGGGAGTGGTGGCACAGCGAAAGAAAACATGTCACGCGCGCCTCCTAATCATAGGCATTTTCTCTCTTTTTTCTTCAAATACGGGGCTTTTCAGTGCGATCACCTGCGCACACGCGAACAAGTCGCGGCCTCCAGCAGCGGCCGCAGTAACGAGAAAGCTCGCCATGCTCAAATCAGTCAGTGGCCGACACAACGGCAGTGACGAGTGATTTTAGAGCTTGTTGTGCCATTTGTCGAGAGAAGAGAGCAATATTTACCTGATATTGAGAATTTCTGTCCACGTGCTGCGCTGTGTTATTTGGCTCCCGTGATCTCGGTAGCTTCAACTACCGATTGAAAGCATTTTATTACTATGCTCAAAAAAGGCTGCAGGGCCCTTTTAAATGTCTCGCACATTTCGTCAGTTTTTCTTGGAAATATTCACCACAACAATTTGACATGAAAGGCAAATGAAAAGAGACCAAAAACAAGGAAGTGTAGGAGGACTCGCAAGACCCCTTCAAGTGTGCTGCCTGCGCCAGTCCAGATGAACGATGTGATGATAATGATTAAAGGAACGTTTTTTTGTTCACAGCGTTTCTTGCTATGTAATAGTGCGCACAGCCATGCTATGTTCATAAAGCCTAAACATTGTAAGCATGTGAAGTAAAATGAAGGTCATTTGCACGATAACCGATGTGGACATACGTGAACTTCCACAAATGGCGGGCATAATATTGTGGAAAACAAAACAAGAACGTTTGCCTCACCACTCATGAAATTGTAGACGATCGGGTTGATTGCCGAGTTGAAGTAGCAGAGCCAGTGGGAGAGTAGGGAGGCGACGCTCATGAGAGGCGTCTGAGGAAGATCTGTCGTGTACCTGCGTTTGAAAACGAGCAAGCCTTCTTCATTCATCGCTGTACCACATATTTCCATTGGTCGGCAAATATATGTTAGGTGCATTCCGCTTCAAGGGTGCTTGTGAATGTTTTCTCAAATACTGTACAATTTCCGCCCCACACATGCATGACACACTCACACCTTTTGTCTGGTGACGATCCACTATTGTGTGAGAGATGTGGTGAAGCACAAAGTGTGCTACACATTTTAATTTAATGTAAGAGATTAGACACCCTTAGAAAACAATTCTTCCCATTGCGGTATCAACAAATACCATTCCACCCTGTAATGCGCATTTGTAGTGAACCACTTTTCAAACTAGAGTCATTGCTGTCATTTTTAAACAGGTGCAAGACTTTCAAGGAATTTACCTAGGGAACTCGTAGCACGACCTCTGAAGAGAGGTCGCTGCTGCGGTTATTACAAAAAACACAACACATGCCTCCCGACCCTTGTATACAAGAGCGTTTAAGAGGCATTTGTGCTAATGCCAATTATCACCACAGTTTTATTATCACGATCCTTCGCCACCCATTCTCACTAGACACCTTTCACGTCACTGTCATAATTTTAACACTGCTATGTTTTACCCGCCACAGTGCGTGGAATATTAAGGCCCTTATACAGCCAACTACCATAAGCATTGCCCACATCCCTTGACTCATGAAATGACGCTCTTTGGCCATCATATGGCCCTTACGCCATAAAGTACCACACATCATCAAAGGCAACTAAAAAAAAAACAGAGAATGTTGACACGATGATGGCACATTGCTGTGCTTGATGTTGTATATATATGCGTTTCCTTGCTAACAAACTTAGTTTAATGTTCGCCGCTGGTCTGACTTGCTTAAGCTTCGGTTGTCTGAGCTTTTGATGCCCTGGTTTTGTTAGGTCGTCAACTCCTACTAACCCACCGAACTTGCCTCAGTTCATACGATGAATGATTTATGAAGCCCTGGTGCCATTACAGCTTAGACCAGCACATGATGGCACCAGGACTTTATAACGGCTGTTCAGTTGGGAACTGTATACTACCAGTTAGCCCCAGTTTTAATCATTTTACTTTGTGAAGGCAGGAATCTAACAATGGGGCGCTGAATGGAAAGAAAATTTTTCTCGTATTAGTCGATTGCTTTTGATCAATTCACTATTACCATGCTTGCAGCGGGAATAGTCTTAGCGAGCGAAAAAATAAAACACGCAAGATAATTGCTACTGGTTACATCACTTTCTATTTCCCGCACTAAACGCCGCGACAATATAAAAAATTGACGGTGGCTACTAGAGCGCGCTTAGTTCATTATTGGTAACCAGTGCGTACATTATCCTCTGAGAGGGCAAGAGATTTAACAGGCCAAACTTCAATAAATGTTGTTCAGACGAAGTCGCCAAGAAACGAAGATTTTACTTCGAAAGCCGTGACGTCAAGTGGGGAGATTTCTGTGAGACATTTAAAATGAAACTTTGAGCTCGGCTTGCTCCTTTATCAGCATGTCTGTAGTGATCGTATTAGCGATATTGCATATTTCAGAGTAAAGTTTACCCATCTAAACTAATTCATACCTTCACTATAGTATCCTTTTGAAGCAATGATACTGTCTTGTTGGGGGAGATGCTTCTTTAGAAAGCGGGTCACACAAATAGTATGGAAATGTTCTCATGCCCGAAAATCCCCCCTTCATTCTTTGTGAGAACGAAAAGAAGGAAATTTTCTTTCATCATTAGGTCCCTATAAACGTATCCCAACAGTCATCTACGTGGTTTTACGCAGAAGATGCGATGAATTGTTCGTCTATATTGCTTGTAACATCTATCGTATAACTTCACACGTTTTATCTATATACGTACACACAACTTGTCTGCAACTACTACTGCTTACAACTACAGGTAATGTGCCGCGCTCGGCAACTAAGACGTGATAACTCATCTACGTGTCGGCCAGTGGTCAGTGTGTGGTATGGTGAGCGCGAGAGTGTTAGGTATGCATGGCGACTGCATCCAGTAAACAGCCGTTCAGTCTGTGTTTCTCAGGGCCGCCGGTGGAGCGCTGCAATCCTTCGTGACGCATGCCGGCCTGCTGCAGCCGATTCACGTGGTATAGAACGTGTAAGCGCAGTCTATGCAGGCCCAACCACATGCAAGCGATTCTCGAGTCACGGCGACAAGCGACAGTGACAAACGGGCTCCGTCGCACTGTCACGTTGCCGATGAGAGGCACCTCATGTTGGAACAAATTGACGCTCTTGCTTGATTCAAAACTATTGATGGCACGCCGAAAAACTGCGGAAATAATGTTAAAAAGTTGATCCACGGCGACATGTTGCTGTGTTGAGTGACTTAGTCAAGGAACTCTGTAAAAGATTTGAGCGGCTTTCTTCTTCCGCAAAATTACATGTATCCGTGACAGTAAAATCAGATTTGACCGCATGGCGTGCCCAGAAGCGTACGCTACGACACACTTTGCATGCTGAAGTTGACATTGCAGCCAGCTACCACCATTTCATCAAGCTGCTACCAAAACAGGGGAAGAAAACGTCGATAACAAGATCCGCAACAAATACGGCCACTGACTCACTCTCGGTGTGAGATATGGCTGTAGAGAAGGCAGACTATACCTTACTGTCGTTAGAGTAGGCATGGAGAACAAGCATCGATGACAAATCACAACCGAAGCGAGGATCTAGGCTGCTGCCTTGTGGCCAGAAATTGTCACGCTCGCTTCCGGGAGTCAGGTGATTTTTTCTAGATTTCCAAAAGCCCACGACGTGACAAGCGACACGGTGACAGATGTCGCCGCGACTGTCGCTCGTCACTATCACTCGGAAGTTGCGTGCGTGTGGTTGGGCTTCGCGGTATATACTCATATGTGGGAAAAACACATGCCACACGCCGCGTAAGGTGTTCTGTATCGCGTGTCTCGGCTAGCGGCTGCATCTGCGCACAGCTGATAGACGGAGTGGACAAAGCGACGGCAAGTTAAGGCATCATTTATGTGCAGTGTAAACAGAGGTGCTACATATTTTGCACTGAGGCCGACAGCTTAAGGAACTCGCACTGAGCTGTGACGATGAGCCGGGATTTCTTCGGTCACTCTGTCTCACTTCGCACTGCTTTGTTCTTTTATATGACCTGATGGAGAACCGTTGCATCAGTCGGTATAATTCGAAGCCTCCAGTTAGGAACTACCGCTGATTGTTGGCTGGAATCGGACCCGTCGCTGAGGGAGCGTGTCACGCGTTGCGTAAGACGCATCGCAAGAGATGCTGTTGATTGCATCAGCCTGGCTCGCTCAAAGGTTTTGACCATTGATATAGCCATTGATATAGCCATCACAGCCATTGATATATATGTGGGATATGACGTCCCAAAACCACCCGGCTGCATCATCCAGTCAGCATCACATGATAACAGCTTGAATGCCTTGAAAAAGCATTGAAGTTTGGTTTGGACTCCAAGGCATAACAGCTGCAAGCAACGCTGTCGTGAGTGGCAGAAATCAGAAATAGCTGCAGCAACGGGCGAATGCTTCGGGAACATTTTGTGGCACGTCACAAAATGAAAAGCAGTCAGAAGCGAGCATCGGAATGGAGGAGTCCTTATCTGCACATGAAGAATTATAAAACATGGCCTCCGAGACTCAACAGTGACACGCGCGCCGTAGGATCTCAGGGGCCAATCCAAGGGAATATGTCATTGACAAAGCAGCTTGCGGGCACTTAGCTTCAAGATGGAAGCACGCAGGTTCACATGTGGTGTTGAAGAATAGTAATTAACGAAGGACCAGGGGCAGATAGCAGATATTAGAAGCGAACGAAGAATATTTATTGTGAAACTGGGCATGACGTCACTGCGAAGCGTAGAACACAAAACAGATTGGGACTGCAGGCATCGCTGCCCAGGTTTTCGAAATTTCCGGAACCCTCCACTACGGCGTCTCTCATAACCTTATGGTGGTTTTGGGACGTTAAACCCCTCATATCAATCAATCAATCAATCAATGGATCAGGCGTCACTGCCGCTTCGGGTGAAACGCGAACGGGAACACGAATACACACGTTCACTACACATGTTTTTTAGCTGCTAGAGAGTACGTACGCTTAAAATAATTGCTAGTAGCGCTCTATTGGTGCCACCAAGAATCATAGACTTAATGGTTATCTAGCTGACGCAGTCATGATGTGATACGAATGCTCACACTGTCACCACAAGCAGCCACGCGCTCCGAGCATCGCGTTTCAATTGTTGAGCACTGCATACACTAAAGGGCAGACATTGGTCAACACTCAAGTCTTCAACGACCAAGAATCGCACTCGGAAGAGAACTGGTGACTTCTTCCCACACACATAAAGCACATTCGAACATGCGCAGAGCCGGTGGCGCATCTATATTGCCTTCTTTATGCTTGTTTATCACTGCTGACTCAGCAGCCGATTTGACCATTGAAATTGTTGTCAAAAGTTGACGTCAAAACTGAAAACAACAAAAACAAACAAGAGAAAATAAACGAGCCGTTCTCGGCACCTGATGCAAACTGTGCTGCCTGCTCATACTCCGTTTGCGTATTATTTTCCCAGCACCAGATTTTTATTTGCTTATCTGTTCAATATTTTTTCTTTGTATTCGGCGAAATATGTTTGACACCAGTTCCGACAGTCAGAACATTTATTATTGATTGTTGAGGTTCAGCATCCCAAACCACCATATCATCATGAGAGATAGTGGAGGGCTGTGGAAAATTCGACCACCTGGGGTTCCTTAACGTGTACCTAAATCTAAACACCGGCCTCAAGCATGTTCGCCTGCATCGAAATTGCAGGGGCCGTGGTCGGGATTGAGTCCCGCGACCACCGGGTAAGCAGCCGAGTGGCTAAGCCACTACAAATCACCGCGGCAGTTGTCAAAGCTAAGCAATTATCGCGGCCGTGGTGCTAGACAAGAAAATAAACTGCAAGGTTGGCGCGTCAATGAGGCACGCATGCTCACACGTGGCCGTTTTCGAACTGCAAGTGTCGCTCGCACTCTGCTGAGCACTCCACTTCGTCATTCTAGACATTAGTAATGTGCAGTCACCCATTTTTCTAACGTAGACGCGCGGGCGTCGACCGCCTCGTCGATATGCGGCGTTTAACGGAGCACAGAGGCAAATCGAAACAAGAATACGTGTATGTCTGCCATGAACAGTACTCTGCAGCTGTCTTCTCCTGCGTTGTTTTGGTGACCGGACACCAAGACGCTCGAGAGAGGCGCTTAATGACTCTGAGGTTGACGCTTGTGCGTTCAAGAAAAAAAAGTGCTGCTATATCCACGAAGTGAATGATGATGAGTGGGCGAAGCTCCAGAGATAACATGGTAAACCATGAATCTTCCGTACATTTTGCCCACTCGATCTTATTGCAACGCTCCCCCTAGCGTACGTCGCCGCACTAAATCGAACGATTGCCTTCCACCAACGACACGCGCCATATGTGACATCATTTCTATTTTATAACATCTCGAATCTTTCATCGGATGGATGGATGGATGGATATGGCTGTACCCTTTAGATCGGGCGGTGGCTAGCGCCACCAAGCCTTAATACCTAATGAACCAAAAATTATGTTTATTTTTTTTCCTTAAAAAAAGAGTTTGAGGATTCGTACTTGGCAGTGAAGAGTTTAATTTTCACTTGTGCCTTGACTTTAGCCACCAATCAGATAACCTCCTTCTGTTAAGTCTACCCGCTTAAAGTCTATTTTGCCCTCCCGGTCCCTAAACCCCAGTGCTTTGAAAAACTCTGCGCCATCATCCTGAACTATAGGGTGAAGCCCTTTACAGAACATTATCAAGTGTTCGGCAGTTTCTTCTTCCTCTCCACACGCACTGCATACTGTGTCTACCCCTTCGTATTTGGCCCGATATGTCTTGGTTCGCAGTACTCCCGTTCTGGCCTCAAACAGTAGAGAACTACCCCGAGTATTATCATCGATCCTTTCCTTGGCAATTTCCTGCTTAAACGTTCGATAGATCTCTAGTGCGGACTTCTTAATCATGCCCATTCTCCACATGTCAGTCTCCGTTTCCTTCACTTTCTTCTTAACCGATAGTTCTTTTTGGTTTGGCCACCTGCTGTTTTCTAAGTATTTACCAGTCAACTTCCTGGTTCGCTTCCTCCATTTTGTATCGACATTCTTCATGTACAAGTAGCTGAAAACCTTTCTAGCCCAACGCTCTTCCCCCATTTCTCTCAATCGCTTCTCAAATTTTATCTTGCTGCTAGCTTCCCTGCCCTCAAATGATGTCCATCCCATATCACCTTGTACTCCCTGATTTGGTGTATTCCCGTGAGCTCCTAAAGCAAGCCCACCTATTCCACGTTGCTTAATTTCTAATCTTGCTTGAACTTCTGATCTCATGCACAAGACCGCATTGCCGAACGTCAGCCCAGGAACCATGACCCCTTTCCATATTCCTCTCACAACATCATACCTATTGTAATTCCACAGTGCCCTATTTTTCATGACTGCTGCATTCCTGTTACCTTTAGTCGTCACGTATATTTCGTGTTCCCTCAGATACTCGGTCCCATTGCTTATCCATACGCCCAGATATTTGTATTTATCTGTTATCTCTAGCGTGACCTCCTGTATTCTAAGCTCACTACCTTCGTTGTCATTGAAAATCATGACTGCTGATTTTTCCTTACTGAATCTAAAATCTAACCTATCTCCCTCATTACCGCAGATGTCCATCAATCTCTGCAAATCTTCCTTGTTGTTGGCCATTAGCATTATATCATCTGCGTACATTAATGCTGGTAGTGCCTGATCAATAAGTTTTACTTGTTTGACTAAAGAAAGGTTGAAGCCCAGTCCACTTCCCTCTAATTTTGCCTCTAATCCTTGTAGGTACATCATAAATAATAAGGGTGACAGGGGGCACCCCTGCCTAAGCCCCCGTTTTACCTCTGCAGGCTTGGATACCTGTTTTTCCCACTTTATAACTACCTTGTTACCTTTATAGATACCCTTTAAAAGATTAGTGACTACATGTTCCACGCCTAGTGTGTCCAGTATTCCCCACAATTTTTCTTGAACCACGCTATCGTACGCTCCCTTGATATCCAAAAATGCTAGCCACAGGGGCCTGTGTTCCTTTTCTGCTATTTTGATGCACTGCGTCAGTGAGAACAGATTGTCTTCCAACCTCCTGTGTTTCCGAAACCCATTCTGCAGTTCCCCCAGCACCCCCTCATCCTCTATCCACGCCTGCAGTCTTTCCTTTATAATCTGCATCGCCAGCCTGTAGACCACTGATGTCACTGTTATAGGACGGTAGTTATAGGACGGTAGTCATCATCAACTAGAAGTACCGCCGCCTATCGAACGCTGCAAGAACTAAACTAGAGGTGGCTAGATACAGGGGACGGTACCGCCATCTGGTGAACACTGCAAGAACTAAACGAGAGGTGGCAGCATTACAGGGGACGCACAGCTTACACCTTTAAGGAGCTTCGCCCCTAAAGAAATACCGATACGTGGCTATACCACTGTGCGTCAAATAGCGGGTGAGTGAGGCCTCGCGGTGCCCCACCTGAGCAGATTGAGCGTGTGCACGGGCAAATAGCAGAGTCCGAACAGGCTGACTACGGCGATGAGCATCTTGGCCGCTTTGCGTCGTGCCAGCGTCTGCGGCGGTGGCTGTGTGCCCGTGAGCGAGCCGGTTTCGTGCAGCGCAGGCATGCGCCACAGCACGCGCGCCATCTGGTAGTAGGCGGCGGACATGAGCAGGCATGGCACTACGTACAGGAACACCACCAGGCACAGCTGGTACACGGACGTGTAACCCGCGGGCCACGTGTAGGCGCAGTCCGTCAGGTACAGAGCACCTGCGTGTCGCGGAATAAGATTCAAGATTGGTTAAGAACGAAGTGGTACAGTATCGTGCTGTAAGTGACAAATCCTAGTCCATTGCAGGGCTGGAGGTTTTTTCCAGTACTTATTTTAGTTTTAGCGTTAGTTCAAAAAACCTACTGCGCTAATAATAGATATGACACGAAAAAAAGCTGTTTTGCTCTAGATATAACTTCTACCACGTCTCCTCATGAGCTTTGATATTTATTACCACCCACCCCCTGTTCCCGAAGGTTTGTTGCGATACCCCCACGAAACGAGGCAGAAAATTGAAGCCTTTTTTTTGTTAAAAGGTTATGGGCAGATAGGAAAGTGGAAAGAAGGAAGATAGAAATAACTGGAAGGACAGTGAGGATAGCCAGTTCTTAGACAGGCAGAAGGGGTAACCGGGGTGTGTAGGTAAGCATCTGCAGCATGTTAGTTATCTTTGAAGCTTTCTTTCACTCGCCTTCAAACCCTCCCTTTTCTGACTATCAAACCTACAGAGGTACACCATGCGCCCATAAATGTTGAAGACGAGTCTTTTGTTGTCTTCCAGCCCCTCCCCCCCCCCTTCAGGAAAAGACCGTTACGTTACCATGCACTGTATGGTGGCGATATTCCAAGAAATGGAGCGTGTTCACGGACTCTAAGGCAGCACTACAGTGTTTGACATTTGCCTTACGCCGGGGACCTCATGAACAACTAGTGCTGGAAATTAGAGAGCTGCTTCACCACCTCTTCGACGAAGGACACAGAATCACGTTTCAGTGGATTCCAAGTCACTGCGGCATATTGGGCAACGAACATGCCGATGCAGCTGCCCGATCAGCACACGAAGATGGTGAAGAAAAATCTATACCATTTTCAAGGACTGATGCTGCAATGACCATCCGAAAAATCGCTAATCCAGAATTAAAATCCCTGTGGAACACCGAGTGCTTACGGCACACGCGACTGCGTAGACTGGACACGTCTCGTCGACTCCGGCCTCCGTCTGGACTCTCCCGACTCGAGACAACGGTGCTTTGCCGACTATGGCTTGGTGTCGCCTTCACCAAAGCTTTCGCCTTCCGAATCGGCATGGAAGACAGTGCTGCTTGCGGTCATTGCGGCAGCGATGAAACTATAGAGCACGTTCTCTGTCACTGCCCTCGTTACAGCGTGCAAAGACGGCAACTAGCTGCTGCGTTAGCTCGCCTTGAAGATAGACCTTTGTCTGAACAATCAGTGCTGGAAGGACGACATGATTTGTGTGCTCACAGAAAATCAGTGAAGGCCCTACTGAACTTTTTGCGAGGCAGCGGCCTATTGTATAGATTGTAGCACCCCAGCTCCCCCCCCCCTTTTTTTTTTTCGCGCGCGTCTATTTCCCTCTTCGCTTTCTTTCCAATCTTTCTTCCCCATTCCCCCTTCCCCTAGTGCAGGGTAGCAAACCGGATGCTCCATTTTCTGGTTAACCTCCCTGCCTTTCCCTCATTTTATTCTCTCTCTCTCTCTTGAAATACAAGAGAGTACAGATAAGGAGATGCTGGGAGGCGACATACTATCAGAGTTTTTCACTATTCACGCAGACTGTAACCCTGTCGCAGCCTTATTAGGTGTGGTCCTGTAATTCTGAATGTGATCTTCCCGAGACTAAGCCATGCTTGCTTGACTTGGTACTTGCTTATTACTGGACTCTCTCTGCATGCTTCTTCAACGGCCTCTTTGACGAAGTTTTGAAATCAGGCAAACATTCGGTTACATCATCTGCCATAACATAATTACCGTCATCGCGTTAAACACGCCGCGATGGCGTCTTCTGGCGCTGTCTCATTTCATCTCTGTGTCGCAGGAAATGTTTCTAATGCAATTAAATGATCCATCTCCAATTCCTGACATAGCTTGCATTTATTGGCACCGATCAGGCAATTAGAACATAATAACGGTTCTCCACTGTAAGCACTGCGTAGCCAGTGTCTGTAAATTTCACACCTGCAAACTAGAAAGAGATGTAGCTGTTGGTCGTTTTCTTAACCAACGCTTGATCACTCTTGGCTTTGCGAGTATTCATGAGCGGTTAATTTGGTCGTGCTCTTTTTTTATCCTACCGAGATTCTATTTTTCTAATAATTGATTCACTGTTCATCTGCAATGTACACGTCACTTGAAACTGCTGGTGGCACACGTTGTTAAGCATCAGTAATGCAACGCAGTGGTTACTAACCTACGACTGGACCACGGCGAGTGTCCAGAACAACGAGCTCGGGCAACATGACCAGACACGACACAATCCAGATGCAACCAATGGCAACGCGTGGTCCAGTGGATCCTTGAGAGCGGAGCGGTCGGCAGATGGCGCGCCACCGGTCCAGGGATATGAAGGTGAGCGTCAGCACCGATACAGACACCGACACGCACTGCACGAAAGTAAGTTGCAAAGAAGTTGAACAGCATGTTACACTCTGCAACACTTAAAGGCGAAATATTGGTGCGCATACTTGGCACTAAACACCGTTCACTGGCCAGAGCGAGCTGTGTTTCTGGCTGTGGGTACTCTCAAGTTCGCCGACACTGGCACCAAGGCGCATGCAGAAAACATATGCACGAACGCTTTTCCGTTTCTAGCTCAACCAAAGTCTGTACACTTGTGCATAGGGGAAGATGTGCGCAACAAGGTCTATTTTTCTTGCGGTCATGCGACAAGGCTGTGCGTTTTGGCGCTGCAGTCACACATGAAAACTCGACTACAAGGTGCCTATGTCTGGTACCAGGGGCCTATGTCTATGTCTTGCCTCTGTCTTGTACATGCATACCCGGGACAGACGTGGCCTGCGGCTTGACTTCGTGTAAAATTTTTGGACTTTGCTAATAGTACTGACATGACTTCCTTGCCCATTGAAATTAATAGCTTTTTGTTAAGGTCAACTACAGAGACTGCTCTGATATCAAGTATTTTATTTATTTTTGCGAGACACTCCATGCTTTTGCTGCGAATTTAAACATCACAGTCAAAACAAGGGTCCATATTTCAGAATCAACATTCATATTTTAGTCGTTGTGGAAATTAGCATCGATTGGTCTTTTTCGAATCCTGACACCAAATCTCTTTCATAAATGACTTGTGCGACTAACATTTGCGACTGTGACCCGCAAGGAGAGGGAAGTTTGATAGCCTGCATTAAACAGCAAGAGACAAGATTTGTTACAAGACATACATGACACAATATCAGGGCCAGGCATAAAACAATTGCCTACAGCAGAAGGAAGAAAGACGGCGCAGCACTCCGGCCTGTTTTATTTGGCATGAAACTCATTACTTTTATGTCCTACGCATACACTCGCTTCACCAGGAAAACAGCCGAAAGCGGAGTCTTCGCCTCCAAAAAACGAGGATCGCAGCAGCAGATCGTGGAAAGCACAGAGCCTGGTTTTTTAACGTGAAAGAAGTGAAATGAAACACGCGTAAACTCTGAATCAGAAGAAAAGAAAGAAATACGCAAGGTCTCTTTTCCGTTTGCCAAAGTCGACTAGTGGGCAAAATCTATATTTTTCTTTTTATTCACCGTCGATATATTCATCTTCCTCAGGACTCACCCGAAAGGTAATCACACATAATGCATTATTGTACCTTTCTCAGAATCAGAACCTCCTGATGCTTTAAAACCTCACTAGTCATGCGTACTCAGTGGCAGAACATATTTTGACCAGTCAACCATGTTATTGGATTATGTCATCACGTGACTTGATGAGGTCGTCGTAAGGTTACGTCACCATCTGGTCATAATGTTTTGCAGCATTCATGTGGACGCCACCTCGGCGGGACGCCAACGCTGCCAAGACCAACGGCCATTTTTCGGGTTTCTTTCGGTATTTGAGGCTTCCGTATATACCAAATTCTCGAAAGCAGCATAAAAATTGTCGGAATACATGTTTATACATTTATCAAGCGACGGAAGCGCTATTATATTCACCGTACAGTATACGTTATAGTGACCTTGCGGTTATGGGGCTGTACTTCTGGCCCAGAGGTCGCGATTTTGAATCCAGGCTATGGCGGCCACACTTCAATGTGGGTTAAATTCATGAAGCCCTCCGAATCAGATCTCAGTGTTCGTTGAAAAAAAAAAACAACTGGTACACATTTTCGGAGCTTTCTACTACAACATCCATCATTATCATACATGCTTTTGGGCCGCAAAAGCTCGACAATTATTACTTTTCTCATACCTGAACTTAAGAGTATATTCGCCATACCTGAAGGTAAAGGACAATCTTGCAGAGAGCAGCCCCGAAGAACCACGTCTCTGTCACGTCCCAGAGCACCGTCGGTGGTAGGCAGACCAAGATCACGAGAAAATCGGCGACGGCCAGGTTCACGATGAAGTAGTTCGTCACCGTGCGCATGGTCTGGTTGCGGTAGACGGCGACGCACACCAGGCAGTTGCCGACCAGCCCTACCACGAAGACGGCCACGTGAAGGCCGATAAGGCCCCACTCGTATGAGGAAGGAAAGATGTACTCTTCCAGAAGGTCCAGATACTCGGCCTCCGAGACGCACAGTTCATTGACACAAGAGGAGCCGTTTCCGTGTACCTGGAGGCCGACTCCACCAGCAGTCTCGTTCAGAGGTGCTGGATCCAGGTCGTCCATGTCTCAATTTTCTGAGCTGAGCGTCACCGACGTTACACTACCGCTTTGCCCGTTCGTTCTTGGTACACATTGCCGAAAAGTTCAAGACCTGCATTAGCTAAAAAAACACACCAGAAGATACCTGAGTTAACGCAATGTCTGGAACTTCGAAATGTACAAGAAAATACGAACACGAGTACAAGGTAAACTTGGAAAGAATACAATAATGCTAGAGACTACAGCCAGATGAATTGTTGGACTATTTTCTCTGGAACTGCGCATTGACAGGAAAAGAGAAAAAGACTGGTACAAACTAAAAATTCTGCCCCTGCTGCGCTCAAGCATTCGTACCTGTGGGGTAATGATTTAATTGACTAAACAAAGAATATGTGTAGCTAGCCATAGGCTAGTACTTGCTAAACACGAATACATGATTGCTAATCTTGCCTAACGTAGGCTTGGTAATTGCAAGGATGACTAGTGTGGCCATAGTTACGTATGTGTGATAACCATATTCAGGTAATGATATTAGACAACGACAATGTTGACATCATTGTATATTATCAGCTTACAATTTCACGTGGGGCTTAGAGCCTTGTGAAACAGCTCACAAAGTGGGAGTTTTGAAAATTCACGGACCTCGCATGGAGCACAAGCTTCACCCCATCTACCTAAAAAGAGATGCACAAAGTTTTCGTTTACTGTAATAGCACGCAAAGTGTTGAGCAAAGACTTCAAGCAACAAAATGATCGCTTCTCTCGGGAAATAATGCACGTATTTGCTGGTTGTCCCAGCTAGCACTATCCATAGTGTTTCTGTTTAGGTTTGCTGTACTGGCTTATCATATTAGCCAAATTACTGAAGTTCGGATGGCTATACAGAGACTGCACAGATGACCGAAGGCTATACACGTCGAATATATCTACATCTTAAGGGTACAATGTACGCTTATTTTAATAAGGTAGTGTCGAAACAAACGCATTAGTGGCTGCTTGCTTCAGAAGAGTATTACCCAACAGAAATTGTTGACACATGTCAAGATCCTCTTGTTATGGGCATATACATATAAATCCATGTAATGGGCTGTCAAAGGCTGACAAAGTTTTACAAATCAAATAAACAAACATCACTACACTGCGCTAGGAGCTGCTTGGCATATTTGTGCCGTCTGTGGCACATATCCAATGATGATGATGATGATTAAAACTTTATTTCTCCTCAAAGAGGAGACCGACCCAGTGGTCGGTTACACTGCCTAGAGAAGGTCAACGGGTATCCTAGGGACACAACGGCCTCGAACGCGCATGAGATTACCCGGCGTTGCTGTGCCGAGTCGGTGGTACGCAGAAGGTACTACCACGTATCTTCTGTGTGTGATGCGTCAGCGTACTGTGGCCACGTCCATGCTATGTGTAGCAACGTATACCCACACCTCGCGACATCACACTGTAGATACTGCTCACGTATCCAGCGAATCGCGTTAAACAATTGGTTTGCGAAAATTCCGATGCTGATGTCGTCGTTGGTGTGATTGGTTGTAAGCAGAAAGTCATGTGGTCGTTTACCAATTATTTGCAAAAAGATTCAGGTAAAATAAATAATAAAAATACTTTCGTTTCGAATGAGTGTTGAACACAGGTAGTACACAAGGCGAGCATGTGCTGTACTACAGAACTACACTATTGCTTGAAACCGCTTTGGAAAACAGTGATATACGAATGTCATGTAGTGAAAGGAATCTCTTTAGCGTTTGTAATATTGCGTAAAAAAAGCGGAGAGTCACGCCAGGTGTTGAAGCTTGCGAATTGCGCAACGAATGGGTGTTTTAAAGACCCACCCATACAAAGTGACCAGAGAGATTTCATCGTCATCAGCTGCAAAGTCCTAAACACAATGAACAGCTGCCCAGGCTTGTCTGTTGCTTTACGGACGTGTAGTGTACCTTCCCCTGTTTCGCAAAAAGGAAGAGCTATGACATAATGGGCTTTTTGACAACTCCACTTGCAGTAGGCATTCTAGCATAGTTTCAAACGACCAATGTGACACTCACAGTCATTCGTGTTTTTTTTGTTTTTGTTTTTTGTTTTTCTTTGTTTTTTTGCACACGGTTTAGGCATGCACCGGAAACAGACGCTCGTATAGCAGTTTCGATGGCAATTCGCAAAGGGCACGATTACGCAATGGAGTTCTACCCTTGAAGGCAAAGCTCAAGTGTCCTTCAAGTTTTTGTGTGAAGAATTTCTGTGTTCTGCTAAGCTTAAACAGCGCAACAGTTAAAGTTTCCAATAGCTTGTATATGGTGCCAAGGCCAAAATAGGCGTGGTTAGGGAAGCGCGAACAAGCACGGCCCTCCAAATCAGCGTCGTAGACCGTAGTCACCGCTGTAGCAGCGCCGGAAGCATTATAGGGTCGTCTGCGGTTGAGGGGATGGACGTTGTATTAATCCGATTGTTGCTCTTGAAAAATCACCGTTATCTGCATTTATTAATCCGACAGCTTTTGCAGTTAGCCTCCACGTTAAAGCATTTCGAACCGATATCACGGTCCTGATTTTTATGTTTACGGCGAAGGCTACACACATAGCTAAGAGAAACGAAAATCCGTCCGGCAGCGTTGTCAAGAGCGGTCTCCATTGGCTGTGTTATCAGTTACATTGTTCGCAGTGTCGTACGCAAGGAAGTACGCTATTGGCTGCCTTGTGAGTGACGTCGTTCATCCCGTCGCAGCCGTGGCGCCGAGCTTGCGCGCAACAGTTCCTCCTGAAACCTTCTACATGGGTATGCCACAGACAACTCGAGAAAAGCGCCGAAAGTGGAAACTTCAGTGACCTTTTCTCTCCTCCTCTATAGCTTTCCTTCCCCCTCTCCCCTTCCCCAGTGCAGGGTAGCCTACCGGGGCTCAGCCCTGGCTAACCTCCCTGCCTTTCTCTTTGTGTTCTCTCTCTCTATAAATTGCAAGCTTGGCCTCGCTTCCCGGCCTAGCTTTACTGTTCTGAAAAAAAAAGAACGTCTAAGTGCCCAATGTAGCCTCCTTCAAACAATCTGAGAATGCCTACTATAAATGAAGTCGCCGAGTTCTCACCACGAAATTATTCCTCATATTGAGAATTGATGACGTACATAAAACAGGCATCCGCAAGCCAACGTTCACACCTGCGCAGCAGTCTATTCATAAATACTGTTGATGCGGACAATTACAATTCATTTCTGTAAGCTCAACAGTAGGTAGGCCTCTAAACCAATCACCTTTTGTGCAATATACGTGTATTGCTACCTTGCGAGATTCCACGCTGCTGTCATGCCTAATTACACGCATTATCACTTTCCTTGCGCAACATGATATCGTATATAGGGCGTTCATCCTAAACATTTTCATGCACGGGAGTCCGTCTGTGTTAGAACACCAGCTTTGCACGCAGAAGTCGTGAGTTTGACTCTGTTCGAAGGTGTTTCTTTTTTATTTAATTTCATTATCAGCGTCTATGTGAATTTGTTTTCTCATGATCAACGTTGATTTTTCGCTCACAGCCAACGACGCTGAAGTCAACAATGGAATTTCATCGAAACAATATCTTTAGCGTTACCCCGTTAATACCGTGACATACCTACTGCGAAAAACTCACTCTACAAGAGCTGGTTCTCCTCGCAACCTCACTGTTTTAATAAATGCTTACCACCACCACCCTGTTCATATAGAGAGTCAAGGTAACTATAAAGATGAAACCGGAAGCGAAACGCCCTGCACTTTCGGATAGTGCAAATATTTCACTTGACCTAATGTGTCGAGTAGCCCTAAAACTACGAAAATATCTAGACTAAGGCCTCGATGCCACAGTGGCACCAAAGTGAGGCGTCTTCATGTCTGCCCGTAGGTTCGTCCGACGCAATATTTTTTTTTTTATTCTCCAAGGTTTGACGCATACTTTAGCCCTAAAGTTGAGACGCAGTGAAGCCTCGCCTAAACTGTGCTCTGCATAAATCATCACGGAGGTTTCGCTGCAGGATTCATAGGCCACCTTAAAACCTCCGTTAGAGTTCGCTCGCTTTCTGAGCGAACGATGTCATGCAGTCGCTAGAGTGGCCTCTCTGGACAAGACGATTAATCACTAAGCTCATGCCAGAGGCATTTGATCAACCCTGAGGGCTTAAAAGTGTACGCGGGGATAAATCTTAGGTGCATAGATGAAGACATTACCTGGGTTTTTGGAGTGCTTCATTAAGCGCCTAATGGGAACGGTGGCAGGTTGCAGGGTCCTGCACAGACCTTGCCGTATTTTGACTCCATTCAATTCCTTTCGTTTTATTTTGTTATCTATCTATCTATCTATCTATCTATCTATCTATCTATCTATCTATCTATCTATCTATCTATCTATCTATCTATCTATCTATCTATCTATCTATCTATCTGCCTGCCTGCCTGCCTGCCTGCCTGCCTGCCTGCCTGCCTGTCTGTCTGTCTGTCTGTCTGTCTGTCTGTCTGTCGTTTGTTTGCTTCAAAACTACTCTAAGCTTATTAGACACAACCACTTCAATTGAACAGAGAGCAAGGACATGGAAGTCATAAGAGACATCAACTGTGGTTTTAAACTTCTCGTTTAGTCATTGTGCCCTAAATTCAAATGAATTATAACGGGGACAAAAAATCATATTTTAGGTCACTAAGATCCTAAACCACAACATTTAAATTAGATTTGACCATTAAAACTGGCTGAAAATAAAAATAAATAAAATAGTTTTCACTAACGGCCTCAATTTGTGAGCCTGCTTTAGGGTGTTGCCATTCCTTGATGGGGCTGATGGGGCTAATGCCGCTTTTCCACCATAATTTAAACGAAGTTTGACGCCTCTCGGCAGTGAGGTGACACAATGAAAGCACACCATCCACCACTCGAGAAAAAAATAAAGAAAAAAAGCCCGCCCACATAACCGATACGGCGCTGATAAACCCTTGCAGCTTGAGTAAACGCCAGCGTCGGTGTCTTATACAATGTTTCTTATCTATTTCACACAGGCGAATA